GAGAATCGAAAACAAAAGGAACCGTTTATGACCAAGCCCACACGCTGCGACCATGAATAAATCAGGGTGTTCATTGCAGCGTGACGTGCCAGTTAAGGCATGCTTCATCAAGCATAAACACTCCGCGAAAATAAAGCGCTTTTTGTAAAACACAAACAGACAAGAGCAATTTGTAAACCTTATTTTATCATGCTTTGATCGAGATACAGTAACACTTTTTATTTTGTCCGTGAATTACATTCCAATTCTCTCTTTTGTAAATTTGAATTTGCACTTTAAAAACTAATTGAACAACTTTAAAAAGCACTTGATCAGTAATTACTCCAGCAGTGATTCATCAGCTACTATTTTTGTCAAACAAAGCTAAACCTTTATAAAGCTGAAGCGACATGGTTTCGTGGTTGTGCAGCAATTGGCTCCGGTAGTTGGTTAGAACGTACAGGCTAATTGCATATTCCCCTCGCAAAATAAAATACGTCCTACTCCAAAACAGGCTTCAGAAATTCAGTAAATAATCGTTTGACAGCCCAGAATTCTCACCACTCAATATAAGATTTAAAGCTCGGTGTACTTTTTTTTCAAATACCACTTAATTATCACCAAATACATGGTATGTGGAAGTGCTTTTTATACACATCAGTCTTACTTACAAGATAATCACTACTACAAGTTAGGTGTCTATTGCCCTTGATAAACCATGAAATTCTCCATACTGAACTGAGAAAAGGCACAGTGAAACTTGTATCAAAGCAGTATAAAAAAGGGCTTGAGTCACGGAACATGAATGTCGCTTGTACAGTAGTATCCGGTTAATGTATAAAGTGTTTTCACTCACGTGGCCAGCATCTATGCAAATTTATTGAAACAAAAGAAAGCGTTTGCATAAGAAAGGAACTCAACTCCCACAGGACTGGTTCGGGACACCAACATGGCCGCCGTTTCATTGTTTTGAGACACCAATATGGCCGCCGTGACGTCATGTGAAAACACTCTTATATAGGTGCCCTCAGGTTCATACTACAGAAAAAATGGGACGAAACTTTTAATTTGAGGGCTTGTTGATGCTAATTTTCCGCTTAATGCAGAAAGTTCGCTCAGAACATAGGGTCGGCTTACTACAGGTTTCACCGAAATGCAACCAAGGGGCACAAAAGAGAGTTATCAAGCTCCTTAAGAATGCTTTCGGTCGATTCGCTTTTTATCAGTAAAATATAACTATTGTTCATGTTGTTTCTCTGAATTGCTCATGTAGTAGCTTTCATATGAACTGATTCAGATTGTTGAGCAGGGTATTTCAAACTTTTGTTGTTAGTTATGATTAATTTTGAGCCAAACAAAGTTTCTTAACAAAAGTACCAAGTAAACTAATTATCATATTATTTCTTTTTCTTTTGTTAACCACGTGGAACATAACCGTAAGCAAATGCCACGACTTTTCCTTCGACCCGTGAAAGTTTCTCATGTAACACTTGGGGTGGAAGTACAACAGTTTCAAATCATTCAAGCCGGAAACTTAAACTGAATCACAGAAACTGCTCTGCGTTTTAAGTTTTGAAGCATTTTCCTATGTACAATCAGTTCTAACTCTATCATAAAATCTTTTAACTTGCCATCGCCGAGTGACCAATTGGTAAAAAGATTTAATTGATCATGTAAAAATGTCAGCAAATCGAAACCAACGAAGCAGACCAGTGATTCCCTTTCGTATACATGTATGTAGCGCCTCCGGAATGGCACCCAGACTGCGCGAGCTAGCCCGCATAGCAAGCATTTCCGCGTTAGTTCGTCGAGAATGTTTTTTTGCTCTCGTTCAAACTTGTGTAACGGCCTCGCGCCGGAACGCTTGCTTTAAACATTATTTTCCTTATTACGGGATACCGTACGGATCTCGCAAGAACAGTAACCCGCTAGGCCATTTGGCGCCCAACGTGGCCATAGCACTTGATCTTGGGCACCAAATGACCCCTGACGAAACAGTTAAATCCACTTTTTAATCAACACCTCCCTTGATATTCTTTACCGTTATTCACAATAATAAACTAATATTCACTTTCACCTGTTGAGAAGTTTTACCTTGTTAGGTGTCACCTCTTTTAAAATGTTTGTAAAAGTGTGCTGCTCGCTTTCAACGCTTTAATTTAAAATCCCTGCTCATTTGAGACATGAAGTTGAGGACTATTTTACACCATCCAACAAATGGTGACTCACTTGTATGACGTTAACGACATCAGCTTTGTCAAATATCGGCTTTATTATATCATTAACTGGCTGGAAAACAAAAATTACCGAGCAATTTGTGTCTTAATTCTCAACCCCGGCTGCCCGGCTGCCATGTTTGTTGAAAGCAGATCTAAATACTTTCATGAGATCATTATTATTATCGTTTCAATGATTTTTGTTTAAAGTTTTTGTAATTATTACCGTCAAAAAGCTTTCATCCCTATCTTGATGATCCTTTACGCATTGTGGAGAAATTATCTCACTGATCACCTTTAAACAGTGACTTTCTTTCCGATGCGTTAAACTTGATCAACCGTTGGATGCGTTTCTGGTGTGTTCTAGAATTACACGAGATAGAAAACTCAAGGTCAGATGAGTCTAAAAACTATATAAGAGTCTTAGCTCAGGTTCTTCTCTTTACCGCCATACGTACGAGGAGTTTGTACCTTTAAAGACGTTAAGTTCTTCTGAAACAAAAGCCGGTTCCATTCTATTCCATGCTTTATCCTTCACTGCTTGGCAGCCTTTTCATGGAAAAAAGCAAATAGCACGAAGCAAATAGCGCGGGAACAATAGTGATATGCTATACAAATCATTGTCACCGGGTCAGTAATCAAGTTCCAAGGTTTGAGTCTGTAGACGGTGAATCCTAGCGTGGTACTATGAAAACGACACTCCTCCGTGGCCGTACTTTTGTATATAGCACACTGGCACTACTGTTTTGTTTTTCATTAAATTGCGAGTTGAGATTATTATGTTTTGCTTTCTTAGGTATGTGTATAAAGCTTTTACAAAAAAAATTCTGGGAACGAATCCGGTGGTGAGGTGCCGGGGTTTCGCTGAAGTTGATCATGGTTGATGAAAATGGCCGTTTGGAAAAGGACGTACCGTCGATCAAAGGTTTCCATTCGAAGGGAAAGACTGCAATAATTGTTACTGGGAATAGTGGCGCAAACAGATCAGTATAAACTTATGTATAACTGCAACGAAAGAAAATGCTCCTGCTCTTGAAAATACAACCCTTTTTACTTGGTGCCTGTATATTCCTGGCGCCCGCAGTTGTTCAAAACTGGTGGATAACGCTATCCACTGGATAAATCTCCATCCAGTCGGTAACGCAATATTGGTTTCCCTAATACTTATCAACTGAAAGTGATTTATCCCTTGGAATGCACTATCGACGCGTTTGAACAACCGGGGCCTGGAGGCCCGGAGGGAAGGTACTGCCATATATGGGCTATGTAGGTATGAAAAATAGGAAACGGCAAACTAATCCTTACGGCAAGGCGATGCATATGAAGAAGTAAACAAGAGAAAAAAATATATATTTAAATACAGATATTTTTGTTTTATTCTTTTGTTTACTTCTTCATCGCCTTGCCGTAAGGATCAGTTTGCCGTTTCATATTTTTCTACAAGTGTAATTGTACTGATCCAGGTCTACAACCGGGAGATCCGGCACCACTCATTGGTTTGTTGCTGCGGACTTGCTGACATTTTATATATGTAGGCATGAGCCGCTGTGAATTGAAGGGTATGGTTTTCAAGCAGTTTACCCCTAGGATAGAGTATATAAATCACAGAGTTTGGACTAGAATAGGGTATCATTTTCGAGGAAACCGTTCAATTGGTTGAAGATTTTAATCTAGACTAGGGAAACCTGGAATTGACACACGAAAACATACGAAAAAATCAAATCGGCAAATTTAGCCTAAAAGCTACTCTAGGATAGGGGGTAATTTTAGAGAGTTTAGTCTAGCACAGGGTAACAAAATTCAGCTGAACTAGCTCTGGTATAGGCTGAGGGTTCCAGGGTCCCAGCGGCACATCCCTACCCAAAAATTCCTAAATTACCCCCCCGGGCCTGGAGGCCTCCTGCAGTTTCCTCGACAGGTGTCTGCCGGTAACTTTAAGACAATTCATTTGTGATAGCAATGTGTAATGGAGAATTCCAGCTCATTGAACTGGAGAATCTTAATAACTCTTGCCATTGAACAGTTAACTAAAGTGAAATAAAGCGTCTTATATTTGGGCTGCTGCATGGCGATTTCGCTGAAGCGCGGTGAACCGGAGCCCCTCATTTTGAATGGTAGCGCCACAGGCAGACCACCCTCTGTTAGTGGGGACGTTGAAATCTGAGGATCGATCTTTTGTTATTTACGGAAGAAATACAGATAAACAAGGTCATCTATTCATCTAGCAAAATAGCGCTTAAAACAGCACGAGACGGCAGAAAAAATATAGCCTGCGTATGTAGCGCTTGGAAGTAATGGGCGCAGGAAAGAACGCACCCCGTTCTTTTTTGCGCCAGGAGCCCATCAAATTTGATGGGCTCCTGTTTGCGCCCATTACTTCCAAGCGCCCGCGCAGCAGGCTAAACAAACATGAGACATGACCAGAAGCCTATTACCCAATAGCCCCCTTACATGACACAGTTAACATTTCCTTCAAACTTTTATTAAAACATTTGCGTTAAGTCTGCATTTTGGAGCAAATTATAGACACCGAATTGTTCATCTGGGTGGTCTGCCTGGTGTATACACAGGCGACATCTTTATAACTGGATCCAAGTGTCTATTTGTGTTTAAATTTAACTGAGATAATGCCTACTCTAACAATCTTTTCGGTTTTTTTCCTTCAACAATTTTTGTCTAGTTATTTGAAAGATCTTGCAAGAGCTAGTACATTGAGAGAAAACTGGGTCCTATAAAGGAGAACAATAATTCATTGTCGTGTGCGTCCTGTGGTGATTTGAACACGTGACGTAATCTGAGGAATACGTATTTTCGCGCCGTTTTTCGCAGGCAAGACGGCGAAGAAGACGAGCGTGCGGTAAGTCCAGTCGAAAATCTTCCTGCTTTTCCCCCAGAAAAGTTATTTAAATATCAGTATTACATAGATAAAGCTACCAAACAAGAATATTAGTCGTTTTTGGCCGATATTTTCCGTTTGGAAGTATATTTTAGCAGACATTCGGGAGGCTCGTGTCGACGCTCGCTCGCTTGCACAGCCTTCTTGTTATTGATGTGTGATATTTAACAAAGCTCGGCTCTGACTGGCAGCGCTTTTTCCAATCCTAAGCTTTGGTAAAAATTATAATATGCCTTTAACCCTAGGAGTAGGAAAGGCGTTTGTATAGAGAAGGTGAGCGGACAATTCGGCTGCAGTTTTCATCCGAACATGCAGAGTTCAAATTCCATTGTTGTATGCGGCATGTTCACCTCTCCGTTGGAGAGACTATGCCTCGAGGAAAGATTAACATGCGAGCTACTTCATGACGGTTTGCCCCTAAAAATAAGGTAGTAGTCAAGACGAGTTTTGAAAGTATGCTTTTCATGAATGTAGACGCACTCAGGGTGCCACGAAAACGCATACCTCAGACCACATTAAAGATCTGATCGAGTTGGGTGAATATCTGCATTTAAATCTTCGGATCATAATCAGGCTCATCCAGTAATTGCCAATTATCAATTTGGTCAAATATTTACATGATGTGCCTTTATGTTTTTTTGGAGTTTTCTGGTAGGGCTCTTCATTTTGTCCTTATCTGTCATCTGGAGTACCTTTAACTTTAACTATATTTTTTGAGACTTCCTTAGAATTGTTGTGAAGTAGGAACATGATATTTTTCTTGTTGGGTTGTGCGACATTTTTGCCATGTTATTGAAACAAACAAGTCAGACACCTGGCCATAACATAAAATTATTGGGTGATTCCAGAAAATATCCATACCATACCATGGACGGCTTTTTTTGGAATTCCGAGGGCAAAAATTGGGGGGTGAGGGTGCGGGGTCTTTGAACTGGAGATCTGAAGGCATGGATGGATTCTTGTATTACTGGAATTCGGAGGGCAAGCAGGAATCTCCACAGGGAACAGACGTTTGTATTCCTCAAAAATGGTGATGTTATGGCCTTAATTATTAATTATTGGTTCCCCAAAAGAGCACAAATTGACGATACTGTCTACGATTGCAGAAGTAGGATAGAAGACAAGCATCAATCAATAAGGCATGTGTTCGTGTTCATTTGCAGAAGAAAACTGACAAAATGTGTATTGTATTTCAAGCTCCAGAGGCCTTGATGCTACAAAACATCCTTTTTTCTCTTGTCAAAGCAGCCTGATTATTTGTCATGTCAGTGCCAAATATGTTCTTTTAACTGAGGACATCATTGCTGACCTCGTTGGCTAAAATTAAAGATGTTGGAGATACACTGGATTGTAATATATTTTCTGAATGTACACACCTTCATCACAAAATAGTCTTATTTTAATATTCTGGTTTGGGGCAATGTAAAGTTTATGTGGGTTGCACCTTTTGAACAGTGGTTAGGAGAAAACTTTTATTTTATTTTTTTAAAAATTTTATTCCAGAGTTTCTGGGTTCATAATGACTCCTGTTGTAACCAATTGCCCTGAACAGAGGTAGAGTCATTTGAAATACCGTATTTTGTTATCAAATAAGCCAAATTGGCATTGCAAACCCTGCCAGTAAATCTGAAAGGCTTTGAAGATCAAATGGAAAATTGGTGTAGAAAGGTGGATTAACAATATGAAATACCAAGGGCATAAGGGAAAAACCATTTTGCAAATTTTGAAGGCAAGGAGAGGTTAAAATATGAAAGCTGTCCGCGGGATGGTATGGATATTTTCTGCTGTCGCCTTGCAAGCCTGTGCTCAAGCAGCAATTGGTGGCCCCTAACTTGGAGGATCTTAGTAAAAATATTGATAATATTATAATTTCTCTTTTTTATCAGGTTTTGAGGAAATAAGAGCTTATCATCAGAGAGGCCTTAGAGACAAGATCTTTCTCAGTCACAAAGAATGAACTCTGACAGTAGCTTCATCTTCTCATGGCCCACAGCAGCAGAAGCCAAGAAGGACTATTTCCTGACAACAGAAGATTTGTCGGACCTGAGTTATCGCATTCCACCTTGGCATAGATTTGGTATGGGACGACCTTCCAAGTACTTTGATCCTAAAGACTTGGAGAGGAAAGCAGAGGCCAAATATGGTGTTGAGGGCTTTAAAGCAAAAGTTGCCAGCCGGGAGGAGAGGAATAAGAAACGGAAATTGAAGGAAGAAAGTCGTGAAAATGAGGCCAAGAATTACGAGGCAAAGAAATCAAAGCTGGTTGAAGAGAATCCCAATACTATCAAACAGGTAGTGTCAGATATGGCAGGTCTGGTTGGCTTGACAAAGAAGTGCAGTGAGGAGCAGTTACAGCAGCTGGTTGTAATGGTGGCAGAGAAGAATAAGTCTGTCTTGAATACTGCTAATGAAGTGAAAGATGTAGCTATGTTGCCAAGGAAGAAATTTACAGAGTTACAACCAGCCCTTGCCAAATTATTCAATACAAATGCCGATGCAGCCTTGCAGAAGTCGACAGAAAAGCAGAAGAGAGAAGAACAAAAAGTCTTGCTGGTGAAGCAACTAAACGAACAAGCAGCAGGTACGTGGAAACTCACAGTGACAGATCCGCCGCAGTGTGTGGGTGACACTGGGGACCTTACTCTGGACTTGGGATTTGGTGCCAGTGGTGAGCTGTTGTTGGATGAGGCCTGCAGTGGAGGGGACATCATGGGCTTCAAGGATCCTAAGAAAGGAGATCAGTTGGCTGAAAAGACATTGCATTTCAAAACAGAACAGAAAGTCTGTGGAAAGTGGTACAAGGGTTCTCTTAGCGTGTCAATGTCTCGTGATGAGGAAGGGCTGCTGCTGACTGGGTCATTCTATCAAGGCTTCAAGGAAAGAAACTGCCCTTCACGATGGAAATTCACAGGAAGGCAAGAAGGCTCAGATGATAGCAATGCATAAGTGTGCTATCTTCTTTCTCCAGCTCCCAACTGTGAATGACAGTCAAACCAAATGGCAAACAGACAGACGGCTGATATGCTGAAGACTATTGTACATTGTAGATCTGGATGTTTGTATCACAGTAAGATTTGACTACAATTTAAGGGACAGTTTACCTTTTTTTACTTGCTTAAAATAATGTTCTTATTCAATAACTTCCAGTAATTTTGAGTGGAGAGAACTTTCTCTCTAGTAACATTGTATTTTGATTATTGAATACTGGTATTTGAAATTTTATTATAAAGATGTAGAAACAACAGTAATTTTACAAACAGTTTTTCTATGTTGAATTGTTCCTGTTTGAGAACTTCTTCCAAAATAGTTTTGAGTGGAGAAATTTTTCTCTAATGATATTGATAAAAATATTATCTAATAATAATAATAATAATAATAATATATTATATTAATAATATTATATTGAATTTTTGAAATTTACAAATAAGAGTCAGACCTAATATTTCCTTGTTTTGCTTTAATTTTGAGAATTTCAAATACATATAAAAAAGTTTTTCTAGAAGTTTTGTAGCCAATGTTTAAGAAACAAAGTTAAAGTTAAAGAAAATGTGCATTTTCGAGAAAAGATATTAAATTAATAAAAATATAATGATTTTGTGGTAGAACACACGCAACATGGTTCTTTGTCTACCATTCTGGAGCCTTGCATAGCCACCCCCCTCCTCATCCCTATGGTTTTTTCTGAGTGGGAGGGAGTGGATGTACAACGGCTACCTTTCTGGATCAAATTGGATTTAGAAATGTTGGTTGGGGGTGGGGGAGTCGGAGTACATGGAGTACCCCGAGAAAACCTTAACAGCAAACTCAAACCACATATGGCATCAACAGGGGGGTTTGATCCAAGGCCACATTGATAGGAAGAAAATGCTCTCTTTGCTCCCCAAAGACGAAGGTTGGAGGATGGCTGCTTTGTAACAAAAGATGAGAATATCAACATCAATTTTCTACAGAACCTGCACTTAGTGGCATATTTGTTTGCTGTCCTTTGCAGATTAAGTGTTCGTTTTTTTTTTAGTATTATCATTATCTTTTTCCTCAATGGCACGGGACAAGTCCCAGGGATGAGTTTGGCCCAGGGCTCCCATTGAAAACAGACAGCTTTTTGCGTCTGAAGGGGCTACCCTGAGCGGTATATAGAGAATACTTCATGGAAAGTGCTGGCGTACGGTATTTACGCACGAGTTGTTGACGTATCAGAAATCGAACGAGTGAGCGCAGCGAACGAGTAAGATTTCTGATACAAAAACAACGAGTGCGTAAATACCGTACAAAGCACTTTCCATGTGGTATTGTGTTTATTATATACATACTGAGTCATTCATCATTTTGCAGGCCTTTTTATTTTAAATCTTTCAAAAATGCTAAAATTTGCCGCTACACACTTACCGCAAAATGACAACGAAAACGAAGTATCAGCTTTTTAGTAAAAACGTTTGTTAAAAACATAAATGACGGTGAGGATATGAAGTTTAATCCAAGAACTATAAGTAATCTTAACTGTTTGTTCTCAATGCACAATTGAAAATGAGTGAATTTAAGTAAAATGGCCGGTTTCAATATAAGCTTAAGCTTAAATGAAAGGCAAAGTAGCTCCGACAAAAAGCACAACAAAAGCTTACGTCTCGTTCTGTTTATCCCTTTCCGCTGTTGTTTCGCCGGCTCTCTACCGTATTTTTTTTATCGACAGTGAAACAAACGAAACTATTCCACTCCATTTCCGAAATGTTTTTCACTTTTTTAGCGAGAAAAACTCCTTGAGTAAAACTTTTCTCGTTGATAAATGTGTGCGAAGCGGCGCTGCAAGCTGCAATAAAAGGCGGGAATTTTGGCGCGAAACTCCTACACCTCTGTGGCTTCTGATTGGACGTATCATTTTTCTCACACGTGAAAAAACATCGTTCGCGATTCTGATTGGACGTATCGTTTTTTTCACGTGTGAAAACCATCGTTCGCTCCTCTGATTGGCTATAACTAATTTGCGTACGAAAATTTACGACATAGCTTTTTGGTGAGTATTTCTCAGTATGTATATAATAAAAATTAATAAAGGTTCTTCTTCTTCTTCTTCTTCTACAATGCATCAGATGGTGGAAAAAGCCAGATAAAATTGTGCAAATTGGTTTCCTAATTCTTATCCAGTGGATAGCGCTATCCAGCTTTTGAACAAAATAAGCTTAGGCATCGAGAACGCTGACTCCCTAGATGTCATGAATAGCAACCGGAAGTTCGATGTCTTGCTTGATGGCACACTTGTCTTTACGAATTTGTCAAGCGAGAGCACATTGATAGAGAGAAAACAACTTCCGGTTGCCATTTTTGATGTCCGGGACGTCAACGTTCTCTTTATGTGGGATTTGCTATACAGCTCATTAGCTTTGATAATTTTGGATTATTATAAGGGTATGGAAAGAGGTGACTTAAATGAGAGATGGTATAAAACAAGTTTTCCATTTCGAGGGACGAACGGAGAACGCGCGAGTTAGTAGTGGCTATTCGCGTGTCCTTCGCGCGGGAGGATCTACCGGCGCGGCTACCAAGTAAAGTCTTTGGAACGCCTGTTCCTTTCTGCATTTCGCTAAACAAAAAGATGTTTCCCTCAGGTTCTCGAACTTGTTGCGTTATTACTGGGGCTAGTCGTGGTTTCGGAAGGTCTGTAGCAATCGCCCTGGCGCGAGAGTTTTCTGATGCAGGGATCGAGGGTCATTTTGTTCTACTGGCGCGTTGTGAAGAAGGTCTCCAAGAGACGAGAAACAAAATCATTGAGACATACTCTTGTGCCCAAAGTAAGTATTAAACTTACTCATTCCAGGTGACCATCTGTACTCATTCTGTAGGTGTTTTTAAACAATTTGATCACTACGTATGCAACAATGTTGCAAATATACAGATTCATCACTGATAAGCAAAGAATGACATCATCTGTTTATTGCAGTTCACATTATTGCTACCAACCTGGGGGAAATAGACACACTGGGTAAAACAATAGAAAATGCATTTAGTAAGGTAAGTTAGACTTCAATAATTATTAAAATGACATTGTTGTTCTATTAATATTATAAATCATTATTTACATTATCTAGTAGTCAAATTATTTCAAGCATATATCCCTATAATTTCTAAGTTTTCACATATCTTCACCAAAATTCAAACCAAGAAACTATCAATTCGTCCGAGTTTCTACTTTCATGAGGTATTACAGCACCTAAACAACTTTATTTACACAAATTTCCTGAGTTCGAAAGGGTTCTCTGTTTTGTGAAAGAGGACAATTGAATTTCCAGGCTTTTGTGTGACACAGTATTTAGCTGGCAGCTGGGAAAGCTCCTGTGTTAAAAAACATTACTGTTGTTTTTTGAGATTTTGCTATCTAAACATTCCTTGTCTTAGAATAGATATTACTTGAATCTTTATGAGGCAAGGAATTCACGCATAAGTGGGAAAATCCAAGAACAGATGTTTCTGTTGGTTTCTGGTGGCCTTATTTGTGCCCCTCAATGGAGTCAATGGCGGGGCTCGAAATAATGGCCGGTGAACGGACAATGTCCAGCCTGATTGGGAAGTTGACCGGTCAACCTTTCATCTTGCTGGTCATGTTGACTGGTCACATTCAATCGTATTGAAAATAAAATGCATTGATTAATTTCCATGCTGTTCAGTTGTTTCAGTTGTTGTCTGTATGTAGCGAGTTGCTGTGTATTGCAAGACTTTTATCTGAATCCTGGGTGAAATGCAACTAGAAACTTTGTTTACAATTCGCGCATTGAAACAGGCATCCGGGTTCCTGCACTTCTAGTCACAAAATTAAGAATATTTTCACTTTTATTAGTTATGCAACAACTTTTTTCAGGACTTCTGATAGGTTGCGGAAAAAAAATTTCACGGGATTTTCAGGGACAGATTCGTGGAAAAATCGGCTGATTTCGAGGGAAGTTGCAGAAGTTTTTGGGGTTAACTTCACCGATAAACAACAACTCAAAATCTTAAATGTCGATAAAACAACTTCCAAATGGCTCTAGAAGCAAAGAAACTGTAAATAACAAAACAAAAGCACAAGGTGAGTCATCTTCATTTCTATTTTTGTCCAAAAATGGAATTTAGGACGTATTTTGTTTATTTTCATACATTCTCTTATAAATTCAAAGTCTAAGAAACTCCCACAGAGCCTGGGCTGCCTGTGGTTTCATCAGTTGAGTTGATAAGTTAAATTGGCTACCTTAGGAAGAGAGACACATTTGAGTGCATGCCCTTTGTCAGAGCAAAATTGATCATCTCTGCCAAGGGCCAGTAGTTGAACACATCTGCTTCTTTATCAGTCCTTACAGTGGCCAATCTATCAACTTAGTTGATAAAACCAATTATCTCAGTTTTCATTATTTGGTCAAATAAAAAATAAAATATTATCAATGTCTTTTTTTTGCCCAAAATGTTATTGAATGAAATAAATTTTCACAAGGTCTATTTTTCTTCAGGTTGAGCCATCAAACATCAGCCATGCTTTACTTGTCAATAATGCAGGATCTCTAGGGGATGTCTCAAAACGTATCAAAGATGAATCCCAAAGTGCTGAAGCCCTTCAAGGTTACTTCAACCTTAATCTTACCTCTCCCATGTTTTTCATGTAAGAATCATTATTGTTTAATCAGTTTAGCTTTCAATACATGTACATGCACACTCTAAGGCGTTGTAAGGGTGGGCACTGGAATATAATCCCTGGGGGATATCTGCTTGATCTGCGAGACACTGACAAATCACGATATTTGGGATTATCGAGTTCAATAATTGTTTTACTATTTGGTCACTGAGTTCATTTTTTAATGAATATCTGTCATTTTGCCATCTTTATGCAAAAGTGATCGCAAGAAGGAGAAAAGCATGGTTTCGTTTATGCATGAGCAGATTATTATTTGCAGGCAAACACAATTAGATGACATTGTGCATGATTGCAGGTCACGTGGTGGACTCTCTGCCAATGAAAAGGAGGAAAAATTTGCATTTGAATGATAATTATGTCATTTACTTATTTTCAGATCAAAGTTTCTACAAAGGTTCAAGGATTCAACCTGCACAGTTATCAATGTTTCATCTCTTATGGCAGTGGAGTCTTATGCTTACTTTTCTCTATATTGCACGGGTAAAGCAGCTCGGGATATGATGTGCCAAGTGTTGGCCAAAGAAGAGGTAAACTGCTAGACTGCAAGTGGTCATCATTCTTTCCCCAGAGCCTTGCACAGCAGCCGAAAAAGTAAAATAATGCAAATTAAAGGTAAAAAGGAGGAGTAACTTTGGTGGAGAAAATAAGAGACTGCTCACTTATGCAGTAGTATTAACTGTAAATATTGTGATGCTTTTGTAACCGTGAATGTTTCAAAAACATGAAATTCAAAGGCAAGCAAGAAAACATTTTTGTTTAATTTCCCCCTTTATATTGCTTTCAAAAATAACCCCCCCCCCTCCAAAAAAAGGCTTAACTCTTTAAGCCACGATGTCTGCATGCATGCAAATTCTCCAGACTGATCTCCATACATTTCCTTAAAGGATTAGTTGAGAGAATTTGATAGATGATCACAGCAGTTTCCCCCAGGTGATCATTTTACTACTTCTTGTAACCTTTTCTTTTGATGTTTGAGCATTTATATTCTTAGAGGAAAAATGATGTTGATAACTTTTGGGACTTACCACTATAAAACAGAAGTTATGGTAACTGTGAGAAAATTCTATGAGTGGCAAATCTTGTATTAATTACCAACTCTTAGCCTGTGAGCAAGCTCTCAGGGGCACTCTGGTGGCAGGGTAGGAAAAGGAAGGAGAGCTTGCAACTACATCTCTGGAATTTGAATTCCACCTCCAATTCCCATGTAGGTCAAATTCCAGAGAAGTAGTTGCAAGCTCTCCTTCCAATTCTCGCCCCACAACCAGAGCACCCCGGAGAGCTTGCTCGAAGGCTTACCAACTCCATCCTTGGTCAACTTTCAGCACCTACATTGCTTAACAACGGAATAAAAAGGAACTAATATTTCTGACTTATTTTCCTGCCTTTCAGCCTAATGTGCGGGTATTGAACTATGCTCCAGGCCCACTGAGTACAGATATGTACGATGAGATATGCAGGACGTGCGGTGATGAAAAAATTGCTCAAATGTTCAATGCTAGCAAGGAGGAAGTAAGTGCTACTACCAGAATCCTGGAAATTTTTGCTTGTGGAATTCGGAATCTTGGACGCAAGAGTCCAGAATACCGCTCAAGGAATCTGGTATCCAAGGTCCACTGACATGACATTGATAAATCCTGTTACTACACACTTGAATACTCAGTGATGTGTTATATTGAAGGTCCCCAATAGGGTTCTTCAATACCGTGATCGCTAGCCAAAATTTCTTACAATCCCGTAATTCCAATAGTCTGCTACACAGCCGTTCTTAGTGTCGTCACGCAACGCTCCTCCCCACTAACAGCCATTAGTGGGGAGGAGCGTTGCGTGACGACACTAAAAACGGCTGTGTAACAGACTAGTAATTCCAAGGGTTATTTCGGGTACTCTAACTCATACGCATACTTTCAATCCCGAATCTTGCCCGATTTTGCTTAAAAATCCTGAATCCCAAGCTTCAAATAAGGAAAATCCTGGATCCTGAAAAACGTATGGAGACCCTCTATATTGTTAGACCACGAGTAGTCCCCATTTTTCCTCAGGGATAGTAGAGCGAGCGAAACGTGAGCACGTGTGAAAATCACCTCACGTGCCCGCCGCGTCTCGCCTTTCTTGTGTGGGGTGATTTTTGTGCGCACTCACGTTTCACTCGCTCTACTATCCCTGAGAAAAAATGGGGACTACTCATAGTCTACTGTATTGTCGTCCTTTTGCATCAGAAGAGGTTTTTTGAGCGATTTGGAAGGATTTTGAGTTCGCCATTGACTGGTCCTCTTAAACATTGAACCATATCATTAGCGATATATCACTATAGATGAAGCAAATGGTCAATCAAATACATTTACTACAAAATTACCAGCGGTTACAAAAGCAGATTGTGGGCACCCTGTGCTCACACTCGATGTGGTATTTAAGTCTAGATTCCCCTAACAACTGAAATACCATTTTGACTTCTGTTTTAAAATCAATTAAACGATCATCAATCAATCAAATTGCCCTTTTACAGAACCTCTCTCTCTCTACAAAGTATAAACTGAGTCATGGTCTGTCTCTTGTCTCTGTGTTTTAAGGCAGCTTTTCTTGGCTGTAGCACTAACTCTAACTTTTGTTATTCTTTCAGAATAAAATTCTCTCCGCAGACGAATCGGCGAGAAAATTGATGAGCATATTAAAAGAAGATACGTTTTCGTCTGGATCACATGTTGATTACTTTGATTAGTCTCAGGAAAAGGGAGTGACTTTTACATCACAAAAATAACTGAAATTTTATTTTTATAAGCCGCTTTATATTAGATGGTCTAGAGTATCAGAGTGGCTTTTTTGTCTTTTTTTTTCTGTGCCCGCTGGAATTTTTAATTGCCTGCCGCAAAGAAAAATAATAACTCCTAGGCTTCTATCTTTGGTTTGGTTTTCTTTGTGCTCAAGTCTCTTGGAGTCGTGAAATATTAGCCTGTACACAGACGTTTTATTGTACAGGTCACGACGGATATATAAACTGGCTCCGCAAGCAAATGCGAACAACAGTCACCAGATTTATGTTAGCTCCAGGGGCGGATCCAGGATTTTTTTAATGGGGCGTGGCTGATACCAATCGGCCACTAAACTACACGTTATTCTAAGTAGGCGAATTGGAGACTGTATCACTGCAAACTCCTGAAAAGCCTCAAAATAGAAAAAATAGAAGCTAATAGAAATACCTTATTAAACTGGTCGGCTAAAAGTGAAGACGCCGTCATTCGTCCAGGGTGCAGCCGTGCAGCGCCACAACTTTCTCACAAACTACACTTCTGTCGATGGTTCTGCATTTACGTGCATGGCGATTGCACGTATTTCCTTTAATTCTATATTTTTTGTGACCCACGTATTTCGGGTTGTTTTTCCGTGTATCAATTTCTTTTAAGGTGAGCTGTCCTAAAGGGCCAGCCACCCAATCCCCCCCTCCCTCCTGGATCCGCCCCTGGGCTCTTCTCTTTTGAAACGCTTTCATACACCAACGCAGCCGCTTGATAAACTCTCCACATGTAAAATAACGATACTAACAGTGTGATGTTACTTGCACGTGCACACAGATAACTGGACAACTTGAGTATTGCGTGGGAAATTAAACCAACACTCATAATTTATAGGGCTAGCTACATAATTCCCGAAATATGGCCAAAAATTGTTTCCAGAATTTCCCGAAAAAAGCTCTAAAATTCCCGAAAATTCTCAAAAACTTTCGTTTTTGACATATAGCAAAAAGATATCTAAAACATCGACAATGTTTAAAGGTTCAAGAATACAAAAATTAATAATTGTTTTATCAACGTTTTTTAACAAACGAATGTCTTATAGTGAAAACTGTTGCCAGAATTTAGGGTTAAAAACGTTTTGTCAAATTTTTGTGCGTGAAATGTTGCTTTAAAATTCAATTTTTAAAATTCAAAAAAAAAAAAAAAAAATTCCCGAGATTTTCTAAAACTCCCCCCCAAATTCCGGAATTATGTAGCTAAGCCTACAGTTATAAAACTGTAATTTTTTTATCTTTTATGGGAGGCGAACTTTTAATTCCCTACTGTAAATTTTCACTAACTTTTAATAGATCAGTGGGTAATCAAGAATTACATACGTAAGCAAACATTTAAAATTTCGCGTTTTCAGAGAAAATACCATAACTTTCTGACATATTCAGGATTGATGCTTTTCAAAGCCTTCTTTAACGGCCTTTAATTGGGAAGGGGCCTATTACTGGAAGATTTTCTCCGCTTAGATTTTAGTCGGGGGTTTCTATTCGGAGGGGCTTATAAACGGAGAGGTTGTTTAACGGAATTTTACGGTTTTTGATCAATAATAATATAATGTTTCAGTGTTTGGCTTTCCTTTTTAATATAACCTTCATTCTGTTATTTAGATCGATATTTCAGGTGTGAAAGCAAGAAAGCGGTTTGGGAGGCCAAAAACGATCAGGAAGCGGACACGTAGAAATAGTTAGAAAACATTACCTATTTAAACGCAAATAAACCACTTCCAGCTTCTAAAATATGTAAACAGGAGCCCTGATGTAAATAAGTTATATTTTTCCTTTTTTTTCAAAAGGGCGGGTCGCGGAGAGCTTGGAAGGGGCATACGGAAGATGTAATACCCTTTTACCGGTACCCCTTATTCACGTTTCCCGCCCTTTCATGTTAACTTTGCCTCTTTACGCTTCTGTCAAAATATTTAATAGTGGTAAATAGATAATAATCACGCGATTATGACGTCAGAAAAAATACTTTGATGCATTCTCGCTCGTGGTCATTCGTGGTCACTCGTGTGTACTTTTAGACACAATCGTTTCGCGAGGGTTATTGCGAGATACGTATTTGTGGCATAGTAAAACTAAGTTGTGTAAATTTCATGAGGTGTACGTCCGAGGGGGCTGCGGTCGGTCGATGAGGTCTAATGATAACCAATATTAGTAGAATCCAACTAGTGGTCTATTATCAATGCTGCGTTCTGATTGGTTGAGCTACTACTACGCTAGATGTTATAGCCTGGTTAAAGCCCACTAGTAGCGAAAAGCGCCGGATTTTTGGCGGCAAAATGATTTAAGTCTTAGTTTAAGTTGTTTTGTCTCGATTCTTTTGACCAACTAGTTGGATTTTACTAAAACAATTATCCCTCTCGCTCTCATGGCCTCTGAGTCAATAGCCCATTCGGGTAGTGGACTGAGACCCAGGCCCCTCGCATAATTTGTTGAAGGGGTTGTCCTGTGAACACCTTGTCCTGTATCCTGTGGTAGGAAGATTTGCGTCGATTAAGATGGCTGGTTTTGCAAACGACAACTGGCAGACGGAATTGCCTAGTATTGAAGAAAGGACAATGTTTATCTTCAACAAAGAACTCATGAGCGATGTGAAGTTTGTTTTTACCGAGGCGAACGATGACGGAAGCAAGAAGGCAAAGCTGGCGATCCCAGCTCACAAGTTTGTTCTTGGTATCGGCAGTCCTGTGTTTTATGCCATGTTCTATGGTCCAATGGCGGAAACTACAGATTCCATTGAACTACCTGACTGTGATTATGAGAGTCTGCTAGAGCTGTTTCGCCATTTGTACGGCGATGATGCAATTTTAAGCGAAAGCAATGTCATGCAAGTTTATTACTTAGCCAAGAAATACATGGTGCCTTCCCTTGTGGAAAGATGCACTGAACATATGAGTGAGAATGTGGAAGGATCAAATGTTTTTTCAGTGTTGCTGTTGGCTAAGAAATTTGAGGAAAAATCTTTGGAAGATCGCTGCTGGGGAGTGATAAAGACCGAAACAACAGAAGCTGTGATGTCAGAAGACTTTGTCACGCTAGAGCGATCTCTCGTCGAGTCTATTGTAAAGATGGAGAGGCTTTTTGTAAAAGAGGTCGAATTATTTAAGGCGGTTGATCTTTGGTCCACGAAAGAAATTGAGAGGCGTGGGTTGACCATAAATGTCAATACAAAGAGGGAAATTCTAGGAGAGGAAATTGTGAAAGCCATTAAGTTTCCACTGATGTCTCAGAAAGAGTTTATGTCTGTTGTTCCTGATTCTAACATACTGACAGTGAAAGAGGTTGTTGATATGATGAAGCACTTCAGTGACATTAAAGAAGTATCTCTACCATTCAGTCGGTCTCCCCGATCTGGTCCACATAAGCGCTGCCTTAGATTTAACATCACCAGTGGGCTCATGCGTACCAGCTCATTTAACAAGCCAGCTGTCTCGCCGAATATTTCTTTCATCATCAACAAAGGAATTTTTTTACATGGAGTACAGTTCTTTGGTAAATATGGTGGCAATTACATAGTTGATGTTGACATTTATAAAAGTGGAGATTTTTGGGGCAGCACCCGGCTGTTTAAGAGGCATGGAATAAACATTTCACAAACTTACAAGGATGAGACAATAAGTTCTATTAGTTACTTTGATGTGCTATTCAATAATCCAGTCTGTTTAGAGGGTGGGAAAGGATACAGGATAGACACAACCATAAATGGTCCCCCGGGAAACTACATAAACAGTAGTCACGAGGAGAAATTTGTCGAATGTGCTGGGGTTACTTTTACTTTTAAAAAAAGAGCAACAGGAAATCACATTTCTTGCCAGTTCCCTGCATTAATTTTTAGCGTGTAAAATCAGACAAGAATTTGTGTATTTGTTTCTTAATTGATGGCATAAAATGTAACTGATAAGTATGTCATATTATTGCTGGTCTTTACAGTGTTTATTAGACTGTTCACAGTCCTCTATTTTTTCATAAGATGGTCTAGATGGATTGTTTTGCGTTACGGGCAGACATCTTGGATGAGCGTCAAAACTACCTAGGGGGCAGGGGCGGTTTGGGAGGAAGCGAGAAAAATAGAGGGACTGTTAAAACATCACTGCTGCTCGTGTTCAGGAGGTGTGACAGGAATTTCACGCCTTTTACCATTCATTAATTATTAAGAAACTCCGATGGCGATGATAAACATGCCAGACACTTTTAGCATTGATTTAGCGTCTTTCCAAATATCTCCTTTCAAAAAAGTGATCTTATACAGTTTCTGGGCCATTCCTCCAAATAAAATCGGCAAACATGCAGAGATGGAACATTTTCCTGATCGAAGCACTAAGCATGCTCGCTTCATCACAAATTAAAACAGTAAAACCTCTCAATAAAAAGCCATGCATTTCTGACAGGTCGTCTTTTTTTGCATCAGCGTAGTGTTAAATTTCAATCCGTTTGGTAGAAACTCTGTTACAACATTCCCCTGGCTGGGCTGCTTCAAAAGCATGTTGGCTTACATGTTTACCTGCAAAATACCAAAAATCTTTCGTGTGTTTGTGCAAGATGTGCCGTTTGATAGAAACAATGACTTGTCAGAGACTTGTCAGTGTCTGCAACTTAAACTAAACCTATTGTCAATGAAAATTACCATGTATTGTCTAACAACCAATCAAATGCCTGCATTGCTGGTACAATGCATTCCATGAATGTGAGCTGCAGCGATGTTATTACAGTTGCTCTATTTTTCTTGCCCCTCTACCCCCTCTGTACATTTGAAAATCAAGATGGCCACCATTAATGGTAAGACATGCTATATCTCGACGATCTTACCAAAAAAATAGGGGACTGTGAACAGTCTATGTTTAATTTGATAGTATTTACAACAAAGGTCTGGGTTGTATGACTTTTCCCAAATTGTTGTCCTGAAAAGAAATTTGAACTCGTTCAAAACAGTGATCCAA